AATGGAGGCCAATTTTTCCACCTCCTCACCAGAGTATATCACACTATCCACCCCTAGATCCCATAACTGCAGCAGCCAAGCAACCAGGGGCTCCCCCTGTTTCTGCCTCCCCAAATCAACTGATTCAACCTGGGTATACAGAGCATAGGTGGTGAACTGGGTCACCTGTGGATTGCTCACCAATTGTCCATCTGGTCCCATAGTCTGCTCATATTTCACTTTCTGATGCACAACAGGTCATGCCTGGAGATGCACAGTCTCCCCCAACTCACCACTGGGTTTGTCGTCTTCCCTGGCATGAGAGGCAGGAGTGGCCAGTCACTGCACATCATCCTCCAGGACATCTATCTGTGCTTCCAACAACTCTGCTTTCTGCTTCAAATCTTGATCAGCTTGCAGCATAGTGAACAATAGCAAGGCTCTGGTCAGCAGAAAAGTGGCCACTGGGTACCACATACTCAAGAATAGCCACATTTCCTCCCCCTCCCAAGGGGTTCTCTGCTGTAGTGCCTGGTCTAGGCTGGCTTGCAGTATAGTGAGCAGCAACCAGATCCCAGACAACAAGAAAGTGGCCATAGGGCACAATGTATTCAAGAGTAGCCACATTTCCTCCTTCTCCCAAGAGGCTTTTGGCTCCCATACCTGCTCAGAATCCTTTCACAGACTATACCAATTGTAGAGATAGGGCTGGAGCTCAGACCCCTCAAGCCCATTGTCCAGACTGGGTCACAAACCCTTCACATGCAGGTCTACGAGCTAGGTAACAGGAAAAGGTCCTTGGAGCTATGGGTGTAGAAACAATAGGCTTTATTTTAGACACAAGCTCTGCCGACCAGCATTTCAGAGCCACTGCCTCACACACAAAAGAGCACACAAAAATAGCAACAAGCCAAAAGACACACAGACGTGCATGCACACTAAGTCTACTCCCACACAACTTGTTTACAAAGGATGTGCTGCACCACACCCAGCCAGACCTGAGGCCAGGAGGCCTGACTAAACTACTCTATTTTCCTCACACTGCATCAATTGGAGTGATCATATTTTCATATTTCTTTCTGTTAACATCCTCACCAACACCTGTTTTCTTTTGTCTTTTTGATAATAGCCATTCTAAATAGAGTGAGGTGGTATCTCATTGATATTTTGATTTGCATTTCCTTGATGATTAGAGATGTTGAGCATTTTTTCATATGGCTGTTTGCCATTTGTAAGCCTCCTTTTGAGAAATTTCTATTAAGATCCTTTGTCCATTACTCAATTGGGTTATTTCTAGTTTTGCTGTTGAGTTGTTTTAAGTTCCTTACATATTCTTGATATTAACCCCTTGTCAGATATATAGTTTGTAAATATTTTCTCCTATTCTATAGGTTGTCTCTTCACTCTGCTAATAGTTTCCTTTGATTTGCAAAAGGTTTTTATTTTGACATAATCCCACTTATTTATTTTTGCTTTTATTGATGGTGCTTTTGAAGTTTTATTTAAAAAAAATTTTGACTAGCCTCATGTTTTGGATTGTCTACCCAAAGATTTCTTCTAGTTCTTTCATAGTTTCAGGTTTTACATGTAGATCTTTAATACATTTTTTCATGTATATTCATCAGGGATATTGGCCTATAATTTTCTTTTTTGTGTGTGTGTACTTATCCAGTTTTGGAATCAGAGTAATGCTGACCTTATAAAATGAGTTGGGAAATATTCCCTCCTCCTTAATTTTTTGAAATAATCTGTAGAAAATTGTTATTAGTTCTTCTTTAAATGTTTGATAGAATTCAGCCATGAAATCATCAGGTCCTGGCTTCTCTTTAATGGAACACTATGTATTATTGTTCCATTAATGTTCTATCTCACTTATTATTGTTCTGTTTAGATTTTCTATTTCTTCATAATTTAGTCTTGATAGATTGTATTTGTCCAGGAATTTATCCATTTTTTCTGTTATCAAGTTTGTTGGAATATAATTTTTCATAATAATTTCTTATGATCCCTTGTATTTCTGTGGTATCAGTTGGTAATATCTCCTTTTCACGTCTACACTTGATCTTAGCCAAAAGGCCAAGAAGCAATCCCCTTTTTCACCTCTGATTGTATTTATTTGAGTCTTTCTCTCTCTTTGTCTTGTTTTTGTTGTTGTTAGTCTAGCTAAAGGTTTGTCAATTTTGTTTATCCTTACAAAATAACTCGTCATTTCACCAATCTTTTCAATTGTCTTTATAGTTCCTATTTCATTTATTTCTGCTCTGAGTTTTATTAATTCATTTCTTCTACCAATTTGGGGTTTAGTTTATTGTTATTTTTCTAGTTCCTTCAGGATGGATCATTAGGTTGTTTATTACAAATTTTTCTTCTTTTTTGATATAGGCATTTCTTGCTATAAACTTTCCTCTTAGAACAGCTTTTGCTGTATCCCATACATTTTGCTGTGATGTGTTTCCATCCTTGTTTGTCTCAAGGAATTTTTTAATTTGTCTTTTAATTTTCTTATTAACCCATTCATTGTTTAGATGCATGCTGTCTAATTTCCATGTATTTGTAAAGTTTTTGAAATTTTTCTTGTTGATTTTTAGTTTTATACCACTGTGATCAGAAAAGATACTTCGTATGATCTGTATCTTTTTTAATTTGTTGAGACTTGATTTGTGGCCTAATATGTGGTCTGTCCTAATGAATGTTCCATATGCAGTTGAGAAAATTGTGTCTTCTGCACCTATTGGATGAAATATTCTGTAAACGTCTGTAAGGTCCATTTGGTCTTTGATGCAGTTTAAGTCAAATGTTTCTTTGTTTATTTTCTGTCCAGATGATCTGCCTATTGTTGAACGTGGTGTATTAAAGTCTCCTACTATTATTGAATTGCAATCTATCTATCCCCATAAGTCTAATAACGTTTGCTTTATGTGTCTAGGTGCTCCAGTGTTGGGTGCATATATATTAATAATTGTTATACCCTCTCAATAAATTGATCCCTTTATCATTTTTAAGTGACCTTTGTCTCTTTTTACAGTTTTTGTTTTAAAATCTGCTTTATCTGGTATAAGTATGGCTACTCCTGCTTACTTTGGTTTCTGTTTGTGTAGAATATCGTTTTCCACCCTTTCACTTTCAGTATATGTTTGCCTTCAATAGATAGGTTAGTCTCCTGTAGGCAGCATATTGTTGAGTCTTTTCTTTTTTAATTTATGCAAGGTTATTACTGATGCGTAAGTACTTATTCCTGCCATTTTGTTAATTGGTTTCTGGTTGTTTTGTAAGATCCTTAGTTTCTTTCTTTTTTCTCCTGTTATTTACCTCTGTGGACTGGTGTTTTCTGTGTTGCTAGGCTTTGTTTCCTTTCTCTTTCTCATTTGTGCATCTGCTGTAATTTCTTTTTTCATGATTACCTTGGGACTAACATAAAGAGTCTTGTAGCAACTTAAGTTTAGTCATATGTAAATACTCTAGACTCCTCCACAAATACACAAATTATATTTCTGTTGCCTTAATTTGTGTTTGTATCTATTGTATGTTCCTTAGCCATTAATTATAGCTGTTGTTTTTTGACCATTTTGACTTTAAACCTTTATACCAGAGGATTGAAGGATTTACATAGCACTATTACATCAGTGGGGTTTTCTGAGTTTGATTTATGAATTTCCTTCTACATGTGAGTTTTGTACTTTTTCATGTTTTCATGATAGTAATTATCATCTTTTCATGTCTAGTTGTAGCACTTCCTTAAATATTTTTTGTAAGGCTAGTCTAGTAGTGATTAATTCCCTCAGATTTTGCTTGTCTGGAAGGTTGTTATTCCTCCCTTATTTTTGAAGGATAGTTTTGCTGGATAAAGTATTCTTGTCTGACAGTATTTTTTTTCTTTCAGCACTTTGAATATATTATCCCATTCCCTCCTGACCTGCAAGATTTCTTGTGGGAAATCTGCTGATAGTCTAGTGGGAATTCCTTTATGTTACCTGATGCTTTGATCATGCAGATTTTGGAATTCTCTCTTTGACTTTTGACAGTTTGATTATGATGTTCCCTGGAGCAGATCTTTTGGGGTTGAATCTAATTGGGTCCTTTGAGCTTCCTGAATCTGAATGTTCATATCTTTCCCAATACTTGGGAAGTTTTGAACTATTATTTCATTAAATAGGGTTTCTGTGCCTTTCTGCCTCTCTTCTCCCTCTGTAACACCTGTTATTCAAACATTTGTTCACTTAATGGTATACCATGAATTTCATAGGCTTTCTTCATTCTTTTTCATTCTTTACTTTTTTTTCCCCTCTTACTGTGAAATTTTAAAAGATCTGCCTTAAAGGTCAGAAATTCTCTCTTCTGCTTTATCTAGCCTGTTGTTAAAGCTCTCAATTATATTTTTTTATTTCATTCACTGAATTTTTCAGCTCTAAGATTTCTATTTTTTTTTATTTATATCTATCATTCAGATCATTAATTTTTTTCCTGATTTCATTGAATTGTTTATCCGTATTCTAGCCTGAAGCAGGCCTGCATGGGTGCAGCAGAGCCCAGCAGTTTTTCAGAGGCCTTCTGGGGGGAGGCAAAACCACTGACTGATCTACTGTCAGGCAAGGGATAGGCATACACCAGTGCAGCAGGGACCAACAGCTCTGTGAAGGGCCACCAAATCAGTTATTGAGCTTGAAGCAAGCCTGCAAGGTTGCAGCCAGGCCTGGCATCTCTACAGAGGAGGCCAGCTGTGGAGAGGCAAAGCTTCTGCCCAACTGCTAATGGTCACGGAGGAGGTGTACACTACAGCAGCTGGTCCCAGTGGCTCTGTGGAGGGCCACCAGTTCAGTTGTTGAGCCTGGAGCCTGCCTGCAAGGGTAAAGCCAGGCCTGGAAGCTCTGTAGATGTAGGTACCTGCTGTGTAGAGGCAAAGCAGCTGCCCAATTGCTGTCAATCAGGGAGCAAGTGTACACTCATGCAATAGGGCCTATCAACTCCATGGAGAGCCACCAGATTAACTTTTGAGCCTGAAACAAGCCTACAGTTGTGCAGTCATGCCCAGAAGATCTGTAGAGGCCTGCAATGGAGAGGCAAAGCTTCTGCTTGGTTGCTGTCAGTCAGGGGGCAAGTGTACTCCAATGCAGCAGGGCCTGGCAGCTCTGTCATGGGCCACTGGATCTGCTGTTGAACCTGGAGGAAACCTACAAGGGTACAGCCATGCCTGGAAGCTCTGTAAAGGCCTGTCATGAAGAAGTAAAGCCACTGCACAATGACTGTCAGTCAGGGAGCAAGTGTACACTAGTGCAGCAGGGTCCAGGGGCTCTAAGGAGAGCCAAGCGGGGAGGCGGAGCTACCACAGGACTGGGCTGTCAGACCAACATGGCCTTCTGTGGGCTTAGTGGGCCAGCGGGTTGTGCAGGGTTGGTGCACTTGAATGTAGTGGACTGCCACTTTTTGGCAGCGTCCCTACTGAGCAGGTCTGCCTGTTTTCCAAGGGGGTCGGGTGGGGAGGGAAGGAGTGTTGCATAGGTTTAGACACTGAGGTCTTGGTCTTTCTGTCTGGCCTAGGCTCCAGACAGTCATGGTCATGGTCCTGCTAGTTCCCATGTGAATGTGGTAGAAGGAAGGTGGAGCCTCCTGATAGAGGAAGTCAGTTTCCATCAGACCCCAGGGCAGGATGTACCCTAGCAGCAGGTTCGGTTTCAAATTGGCACTGTGCCATAGCCACTTAGGTTGGGAGGCTGAGGGTTGCTCCACCTGGGTTTCTACTATGAGTCTGTGCAGCTGCATAAACTCCCAGCTACTCTCCAAACTGGGTTTGGGGCCTGTGAGGACGGGGGGGCCTTTCTTGTGGCAGGGATTGCTGGCATTTGTGGTGGCAGTGGAAACAGCTAGGGTTCTTCCAGTTTACCTTGTCTCCACCTCACTCCAAGCTGGTGTGATCCCTGTGAGGAGACAATGAGGCAGAGGCAGAATGCCTTGTTCACCCTTTGTGGTATATCCCAGTCTTCTGTGCTCCATAAGGATTTCATTATGCGTCTGGTGCTGTGCCGCATATTTCTTCAATCATTTTGGTCTTTTTCTGGGGGTTGGAGGAGAGGAGCATCAGACAACTCTAATTGGCCATCTTGCCCCACCCTCAAAATACCAAACTTTTAATACTTGAGTCTTTCTTAGAGATCTAAAGTACCAAGGAAGATCAAATATTCTCACCTGTGATTGGTACATTTAAGTAGATTTCTGAAAATAAATCAGGGACATATCATGAGTTTATAACTAAACTTCTAATTTGAGTTTTTATTTACCTTCATTGCTCTGACATCTGTATCTACTTTCTCCCACTGGAAAAAAACTCCTGGTTCTCAATAACACCAATATATTTTACTCATTTGCTTTGTACCTCAGTATGCACAACAGCTTCAGAACTGCAATACCAGTACTACCACCAACAGTATCTTTACAAAAACATTTTAAAAATTTTTGCAGCGTTTCCTTTTTTAATCCATAAAGCATATCACATTGGGATGTATGTTAAATTATTGTGTTTTAAAGACACTTTAAATAGTTTTTCTTGGACGCTATGCCTACAACTCAATACGTGAGATTCTTTATTTTATTTTTCTTTTAAGTTTTCATAATGGGTTATGTTAGTGTTAATTTTATTTTCTAATCATCTAAAATATTTTCAGAATTTCAAAGTAAATTTTCAAGGCAAGGTGTATTCAAGGAAGTCTAGCTTCTAACCCTGAAGTGTTCATACTTGCCTCCCACCACCTAAGGATAACTATTGTAATTATTTTTTATTCTTAGTTTTATCCTTATATTGTTTTAATACATTTTTATTTACCTTTTTTCTCTTAGAAGCACATCCTGAAATAACTTCACTGTAGTATCCATCGATGGCCATAATTTCTTTTTTCGATTTTGTAATTCTTCAGTAGATATAGCATAGTTTTTCAAACAGTCCCTTATTGATGGACATTTCGATTGTTCCAGTCTTTACAAGTAAATTTTTGTGAATAGTCTTGTAAATATGTCACTTTGTGTTTGTACAGTGTATCTCTGGGTGAAATCCCAAAAAGCCAAAGTGTAAATAAATTCATAATTTGCCTTAAATTATTGAGTTTCCCTTCGCACAATTTGTACTATTTTGCATTCCCACCCACAATGTATTAATGTGCTTTTTTCCCACAGCCTAGAAGAGTGTGTTGTCAAATTCGGGGGGTTGGAGGTTGCCAATCTAGTAAGTGAGAAATGGTATGTCAGTGTAGTTTAATTTAGGTTTTTCTTCTTATGAGTAAAGTTTTAAATTTTATGTCAAACACTATTTTTTTAAAAATTAGAATATTTAAAAATAAAAATTATTTTGTGAAAGATACAAAGAAAATAATCTATCATGTATGCTTGTACACTTTAGTTAAATATTGGAAATTTAATACAAGATTATTTTAAATTATGATTGGATTGTTAAAATAATGCTATATAGCAAAATAAGGTAGACATGATTTTAAAATGAACTTCCAAAATTAAATAATTCAATTTTATTCAAATGTCACAAAAACCATGCAAAAGAAATAATCCTAACATTGATAAGCAATAATTTATTATAGTTATGAAGTTTTTGACATAAACTTATATAAAGTATTAAGACATTTTAAGGAGAATGAAAAGCCTATAAATGATCTTTTAATTGCAGTCGTCGTTTTTTGTGTGTGTGTGTCGGGGGGGGGGGTTCTATAGTAGATTTAGACTTGATAAAATACAGGAGCCAAGCGTATTATACTCCATGTCATAGCTCAAAAGCAAAGCCAGTTTAAAGAAAAATATTATCCTCTACTAAAATCAAATATGATGAATTCTGGCCCTTATTCTTAGAGTATTTGAGTTTTTCCTATGTTCCATAATAGTGTTTCTAATTATATTTTAATATCTTATTTGGATTGAATAGAGTAGATTCTAAGGCTATCTTATTAATCTGGCATCAACAATTGCTGTCCTTGTCAACAAGAATTATGTTTTTCTTGGAAGAGAAAATATTAAAGACAAGATTATGGAAAATGATTCCAACCAACTAATTCCTAGTTATTTTCTTTCCTTTCAGCACCTTCCCTGATAGGTATGGTAAGAAAGGACTGGGCATCCCAAAATAGCATTGCCCTATCATGGCAAGCACCTGCTTTTTCCAATGGAGCCATTCTGGACTACGAGATATATATGCATATATACATATATACTGAGCATGTTGTTATACTATATTATTTTATTTTAAAACCTGTTCTCCTTCATCCAAACCTCATGCCTACAATTTCTTTGAATTCTCTCTAAATTACTATTGTACTTATAGTTACTTAATTAATTTTGTTTTGTGTCAGATTAAAGGAGAAGATGTTCATCTCTGTCATGACCTACTCTAGGGGTTTTACAATACAGTAAGAAGTAGTAACTCCTTCAATTTACAGTTTGGTTTTCGTAATATTGTTTCCAAAATTCAGTTGAGAAAAAATTGGAAAATCGAATTAGAATAACATCAAGCAAGTTTGTGTTGCACATATTCTTTGCAAGTGAATTTACAGTTACAGTCTACTGCAATTTAAAAAGAATGATTTAGAGGATAAATGGAAATAGCTTATGAAGTAAACATTTTGTTTACACTTATGTCAGCTTTTTTATTTTATAAGAAGCTAGCAAGGCAAATTTGGTTGATAAATCAACTGTTAACTTCAATTTTCATTTTTATCATTCAAAATCATTCTGAATTAATATATTTTCCCAAATTATATACTTAACTTTATTGTATTCATACTCTTTATTTATGCTTTTTACCTTATTCTTCAACCTTACAATATTCTGGTATTGATATTACAGCAAACTATATAGTCAATTCTGATGTGTCTCATTGCACTAATACTACTTCTAGAATATTGACAAAGGAAGCATTAAATAAAAACGTTTTAGGGGCCAGCCCGGTGGCACACTGCTACAGCGCACTGCTTGGGAGCACGGCGGCGCTCCCGCCGAGGGTTCGGATCCCACATACAGACCGGCCGCTCACTGGCTGAGCGAGGTGCGGGCGCAACACCGAGGGTTGCGATCCCATTGCCGGTCCCAGTCCGGTATGGGTGCGACACTGAGGGTTGCGATCCATTGCCGGTCACGAAAAAAGACAAAAAGGAAAAAAAAAAAAGTTTTAAAAATGTAAAAATCACACATAATTTCCAGTGGTATACTACAATAAGGAAGAACATCTTGCATTTCTGTAACTTATTAGTAGTAAAGCAAATACCTAGAAGCAAAGGAACATCATAAATATATTTACGTTTTCTCTTTAGAAATATAGGTCAAGAGAAGAAATAAAACCCTACTGTCTTGGTCAGTTTTGTGTTGCTGTAACAAAATACCATAGATTTGGTAATTTATCATGAACAAAAATGTATTGGTCATGGTTCTAGAGGTTGTGAAGTCTGTGATTGAGGATATGGTATCTCGAGAGGGTCTTCTTGCCATGTCATCCTATGGCAGAAGGGTAAAGAGAGGGCATAAGGGAGGCAGAAGGGGGCTGAACTCGTACTTTTGTAAGGAATCCACTCTGCAATAATGAACCCGTTCCTGTAAATAACATTATTAATCCATTCACTATGGAAGAGCCCTCATGTCCTAATCAGTTTTAAAGGTCCCACCTTTTAATACTGTTTCAGTGACAATTAGATTTCAACATGAGTTTGAGAGGAAACAAACATTCAAACCATTGCACCTAACTTTCTCTATTCTACTGCTTCTAAGTAAATGTAGATTGGATAAAGGGAGAGGTAACTCAGTAGCATGGCTGTATCCATTTTTGGCACTCTAGTAATTTCATCATTATGTAGTCAATGAAAACGGTCATTTATTGTTAACTGACATGGATAAATCCATAGTCTAAGAAAGGAGAAATCTACTGAGTTTAAATTGGAATACAGATTCTGCACATTAGCCAGGCCACCATGTGCTCAGAAATTCAGTGGGCTAGCCTTTCAAATGTTACAACCTGTAGCATGCTGTCACAAAAAATATATATATTTTTTTCTGTTCACTAGTTTAAATAGATCATCTTGTTTAATCCACTAGCACTGGATTATTGCCATTTTCTTTAAAAAATAAACGGCTTCATAACATCTATCCCAGCATTAAAATAAAAGTTATATAATAAAGCCAAATGTTGCATATCTGAGAACAAACATGGATATTACATTAATTACCATCTTTTAGAATTGAATTGATTTCTAAAATTTTTGTTTGGATGAATGTGGTTCCCTTTTAATTGAAACTGTATGATTTGTCCTTACTAGGAAATATTGCTAGTGATGTTAGGTATAAATGACTATAAAGTATAAATGACTATAAAATGAGACAGTGAGTTTCTGTGTGTAAAATACAACCCTTATAAAACACAAAGAAATATATTTTTTTTAATTTGGAAGAGTTGTTTGTGTAAATGTGTGTGTTAACTTTTAAATAATCAGAAATTTTGGGTACATGAAGATCACTCATTTAAGTAAGCATTAGAGAAAAAAATTGGCGTATAATGCAATATAGAATCAGAAAGCAATGGCATGGGAATTGTGTACAAACTAAATAAAAATAATTATCTTTCCCATACAAAAATATAGAATATATAGGCAACCAACCAAAAATGTTAGAATATCAAAACCTTTCAGAGAAACCATAAAATTATAATAGCATTAAAAGTCTTCCCTACTGTGACTTCAAATTCTGACTACACATTTTACATATTTGCATCTCTGGCATGGTTTATCATTCCAAGCAAATATTCTTATAACTTTTAATTAGGGCAATCTATAATAGAACTCAAAACATTAATTTCTTTTTTTATCAGCAAGCTAAATATTGTTCAGTAAGAAAAGCAAGATACAAAGAATTATTTATACATATGATCCCATTTTTGAAATACAAATATTCCCTACTATGTGTATATTTGTGTATAATTTTATATAATTATTGAGAGATACAGAATAGAATAAGATACACAACAGCCTGTGTCAAGTTTTGCCAATTTGGGGGGTGGAGAACTGGGGACACTTGGGCAGAGGCAAGGAAGAGAGAAGGAAGTACCAAGTACAGATAAATAGGATGGATGGATGGATGGATGGATGGATGGATGGATGGATGGATGGATTGATGGATGGATCCTAAATAGCTTTAGTATTTGTCTTTATTAGTTATCTGCCCAGAAGCAGACTCTGAGACAAGGATTTGTGTGTGAGCACCTTGGATTGAGTGTCCCCCAAAACTTGAACCCTACTGTGATGATGTTAAGAGGGTGGGAAATCCTGTTATAGTTATTGAAAGGTGGGGCCTTGAATAGGTGATTAAATTGCAGAACCATGCCATAATGAATGGATTAAAAATGGTGGTCAGCAGGATGGTTCTGAGGGTTTTAATAAGAGAGTGAATGACGAGGTAAGTGTCTCTTGCTGTCTCTGCTATGCCGTTTTTACAATGTGATACCCTGCCATCAGTGTTGCCACCACCAGCACCTTCCCAAATGTGTTCCTTGGACTTTGGACTTCCCAGCCTCTGAAACTGTAAGCAATACATTTAGTTTTCTTTATAAATTACCCAGTTACGTGTATTTTGTCTTAAGCAACAGAAAAGGACTAATACAGCCAGTGATTAATTAAGAAAGCTCCCAGAAAAACTGTAAGAGAATGGGTGCAGCAGGACTGTGAAGAAAGATTCCAATCAAATTCAGTGTAGTCAAAGGAAGCTTTGGAGTCTGACTTACATCTCAGAGTTCATTCTATGGAAATAAAGAAGCTGGGCTTCCATACTCAGGTTACAGTCAATCATTGCCCACAGGCCTTAGTGGAAGTATATATATGGTGTGCAGAAAAAAACACTTCTTCTATAGTTGTGACAGTAGTCCAAGTTTAGATCTCTAAAGAAGGCTGCAGGAAGCAGCTTTTAAAAGCAAAACACACCAAAGCTGGGATATGGAAACAAGATCAGGTAAATGTAAACCGAGGTGATCTGCTGGAGTACCAATTATTAACTAAGAACTAGTGAAGAATTAATCCTTGGCTCATTATAATATTTATATTGCCTTCAATCCTTAATATTGCTTCCATGGCATTTAAACCTTGCAATTCCTTTTAATCAAACTTACTCTACATTGCTATATCCATAATTGATCCACACCTGATCAATATTTATACCATTCTCTGAGGAATTCATGCTGTTTTATTAAGTTCTCATTTTAAGTGTATTATTATGTAAATCAGGAAAGAAGATAAGCAGCTTTTAATGGGAAATGTCTACAAATATCTGAGGTCAAACAACATACTATTGTTACCAGTGATCATTCTCAGAAGAAAGCAATGGCCTGGGTGTTCAAAGATCTGAGTTGAGCTCAGACCTTAACTTTCCTAGTCCTATTTTCTCATCTGCAAAATGAGGGTCTGGAAAGATAATTGCTTACAGTTGTTGGTATTTTCAATGCGAGTATGTTTGTACCTATACTAATATATAGATATTATCCCATTGTTATCCCATGCCTCAGATAATTGTGTTTTTTTATTTAAGTCTACTAAAACTAAATACACATGTGGTGCATTTTTTTAAATACTTCACCACAGGGAGCAATATTCTTCACATCATCATTATACATAAAACTTAAGATCCTGCCATCATTGCCTTCTTAGCGTGTGTGTGTGTGTGTGTGTGTGCCTGTGTGTGTGTGTGATGTGTCTCTGAGTGTATCTGTGTGTGTACTGAGAGTGGAATATGGGAAAGGAAGCATAATGCTTTGTTGGTTATAATTAATTATAATTCCCTATTTTATTAATCATACTCCCCCATTCTTACCTTTCTTTTTTTCTTTATTAAGGGAATAAAATTTAAATATGAAAAGGCACTTTAAAATAGTAAGGGAAGTCAAATATATGTGGCAAAATTTTATGTTATTTACTTACCAACAATGGATTTCTCCAAAAACAAAGGCTACCCTTAGAATGATAGAACTGAGAAATCATCTGCCCTCAACTTCTCAGTGTTTATCCCTCTTGCAGTCACAGTATATCAAACTCCCCCCTGAATATCAAACATACGCTTTGTCTCAGTCTGTTTTGTGTTGCTGTAACAGAATACTTGTGACTGGGTAATTTCTAATGGTTGTGGAGGCTGGGAAGTTCAACATCAAGGTGCCAATAGGTTTGG